TAACAACGGCAAGTTATCGGTTTTTTACCAATTCAAAATCATGCTATTGTGGTTGACGTACCGTCCTTACGTAAGCGTGACGTATACGTAATATTGACGMATTTCCGTTTGAATCAAGACTTTTCAGTTCAGTACACGTTTCAGTGTACGTCTGTACGTTTGTACGTTTCCCATGTGTTGAAGCCAAATCTATTGTTATTGAAATCAAATGAAAATGAAGGGTTGTAGCTGCTTAAACAACTTACAACTTATCGACAAGACGGAGCCAAACGTAGCGACAAAGAAGACGTGGAAAGCTTTTTCTTGTACGCCTTAGAGTTTCTATGCGTAATACGATTCGACCGTATAGAGCGATGATAATGACGATAATAATTATAGTAATGAAGATAATACTTACGATAAATGAATGCAAAACTTGTCCATTGCATCACCTGGCAAACCTGAAGACAAGATAAAAAACTACTTAGATATCGCTAGCATGATCATAAATGTATGGGATTCCTGTGTTAAACAAGTCTTGAAAGAGAAGGAMTAGTACTTTTTTATTGTACCACAGGGAATCCACCATATGTAGCCATTGGTGAGACCCGCTGATTGGAATATTCCGGGCTTACAAACATGAAACAGCCGCGGAAAAAGTGTTGGATTTATGATAATAACCGTCATTACCAAGTAATGATCAACTATTGGAACTTTTTTTCACATTGCTAAAAAGCAAGATGGCGGTCAATGGGTAGTAACGGGGTAAGTGGGATCAGGGACCAGCTTTATTTTGGGGCTTAAGGATCTGAGTTTTAGCTCTGGAAGTTAATGACCTTAGTATTYCGCTGGATTACAAAGTTATTGAGGCCTTTGAGATCAAAATTGTAGTTATTTTAGGATCAGACCTGAAGTCCTGGCATCGGGGATCACCCTGAATAAGGTGTTATTGTGATTGACAAGGGATGTGACGTCATTATAAGGGAGAAACGTCTGACTAGAAACTAGACTAGACTCTATGAAGATACAATTTGATTACAACTTATAATTATACAACTTAATTACAGTACATTTCTGCTTTAAAAATAAGTCCTTAATTCGGAAAAAGTAGGATGCCAAATCACRTGCAAAAGTGTGTCCTTCAAGAAATATTGTCAATGACCGMTAATATAAAGGYGCTAAAAGCCATTCAATAAGTACAAAATACTTGACAACAAAAGAAATGATGGACAATAGCAAACTTTTGTCATGCACCACGGTCTTTATATTAGCCATSGACCACGRATAAGAAATAATACATTTTCAATGTACAATATTGTTCACAACATAAGCAAATCTCATCGTGGCACTTTCAGAACCTTAAAAAAATAAATAGGATTTTTACCCAAAAAACCGCACGCACAAAACCAAATTAATGCGCGCCAATTACAAAATCCCGTCATGCCACGAAAGCCAGTCTGCGCTGATTCCACGCCGATTTGAAATTCTAGGGAATTCCTTGACTGTTGTTATTAGAAACGTGCGAGTTGTTTAGGGTCAGCCATTACATGCCGAGTAACAGCACAGAATGACCTGAAGTAGCCAGCGTCTGTTCTCAATCATACTGTACTCTTAATAATTCCCCAATTTGCATACAGTCATAGCGTTCAAGCGTTAATGTTTGGACGGCTGGAGGAGATTAACTGTGCAATCAATGCTCGTGTTGGTAGTATATTCAAGGGCACTGAAGTATCCTGGCCACTTGTTAACCTACATTGAAAGAATGACTTCATCATTCTGATTACGAGATTGTCCAGTTACAACTGCGCAGGATAGCTCTATCGTTAAAGAAAGCTTGAACCGACGGACAACACAGAACAGACAAAATTGCCATTTCTTCACACACAGTAATACATTTGATACAGCTGTCGAATGCGAAATGGCTCTCTGGATGATCTAAAAACTACCTCAAATAACGTACAAAGGTAATTTCACTTTAAGTTATCTCAAAGAAAAAAGTTCAAAGAAAGAGCAAACGAACGCTTGCGGTGTTTCTGCTGTGAGAATAACCGAAATTTATTGTAAAATATTGGTTACACGGTTTGTGGTTTACAGTAATAATTGTAGCCCGAGAAATCTTTACAACGACAAAAACATCAATAGGAAAAAGCGATTTCAACCAAAGGTTTTCTTTTAATCCTTCTTAATAAGCAAGAGTAGATTATTTGCGAGATTGAGTCATCAAGGTAAGTCAATACAAAAGTATTCTATACTAGGATGATATTAAGACTATAATGCTACTTTTATTGTATAAAAAGCGCTAAACTTTCAAAAGGTCAAATTACCATCGAAAAAAAGAAGAAAAAGAAAACGATTAGGTTTTTCAGAAGAAAACTCGTCAACACAACCTACTCTCTTATCATGAAAATCACTTTGAACATTATAATTGACAGGCAAGTCAAAGCACAAGGTCAGAATGACAATACTAGCCTTGAATAGTCAAAATATAGACCCAAAACACGCAAACGGTCAGTACTCCACTTAAYATACTCGTAGATGAATCTAAATTTAACTATATTGAAGACAGACGGACGGCCTAAAGATTGATACTCGGCATATAGCACTCTTAGGCCATCAAATATTTATCTAAGGGCACTTTGTTGATCGAGGTATGACAAGATAACGAATAGATTATGAATACATTGGTAAACTGGGATTTCTTTAATGACATACATAGCATATGAAATGGAAGTAATGTGCTTGGTTGATTTGTAGGTATGATAATAAGATAGTGTCATCATCATTACCGTCAATCATGACGTCAACATCATCATAACTGTCAATCATGACGTCATAACATCATTATTATGACGTATGTCATCATCATTATTGTCAATCATGACGTCATGTAATCATCATCATTGTGGCGGCATATCATCATAGATAAAAGAAAAAAAGGAAAGAAAAAGAGAAAAAAGAAATAAAGTTTAGTTATTTGGAAAAAGAGAAGTAATCTAAAAGGTACAACATAACTGACAATGTTTGTTCTATTGAAAGAGGAAATGTATCACATCAACCATGCTTATCGATACTTAAGCAGTTGGCAGAACGCTGTCTTCTCTTTTAACAACACTGGGAAAAGCGTCTATTAGACATCATTTAATTTCTGTTTTAAAAGGTATTTAAAAGATCAATGACAGTTGAGTGTAGATACCTTCCTGGGCGTTACATCAAGTTACATCAATCTTGGATAAAGGTAGAGGGAGCCCTAGATTACAAGCCAGATCGAATAGTATAGCTTAGCTGAAATATACTAAGAAACTTTGTTAGGAGGGAGGGTTTGTTAGGGGAGGGGGAGAGGGGGGAGAATTTGCATGGACGTAGACTGTTGTCTGTTGTGACGATTGACAGTCACAACTATTAAATAATGGTGATATTTTGACAGTTTTCCGTTAACCATCATTACTGCAAACATTCATTCTTTTCTTAAATTCTATTTCATTAATGACTACCTCATTTTAGGAGATATGTACAACGGTGTTTCCCGCCTTCCTATCTTACTAAAATGCACTCACTAATTGATATCATAGACAATAAATCGCCAAAAGGGCTTTTAGTAAAACACATCAACACACCATTATACTCGGACTGCAGTCTCAAGGTAGTCTGTTGTATACAAACCCAGAGGGTGACTTGGCCTTATCATAGAATACTATATTACATATCCTAATTCCTTTACAAGCGATAAGAGAAACACTCCTTCCCCTTATGACGTCATCTTGCATTCGCGAAGTGCATCACGGTATTGATAAAWGGATCAAGATGGCGGATGTATTATATAAAATCACGTAGGACGACGTTTCTGTTCAAATTAGCGTTAAACGTTGCCAAGGATGATTTAGATGAACAGTTAATAAGATGGCTGCTTAAGTATCTTCAAAGAGCACTTACAGTTATAAATAAGTTTGTTAGTTAAGCTTTATATAAACGTAAAGTAAAGAAAAGATAATTTACAGAAAAACGAATGAATTTGCTCAAAAGCTGCATAAATGAATGAACAAATAAATGATAAATAAATAGCAGTGGGTATTATTTCAGATTGTCAGTTTATCCATGAGTATTAAATTKGCAACAGCAGTAATGTCTCCAGAAGTCGCGAAAACAAACACTACTGAAAATCAATTTCATATAAAATCCAACAGAACTCACTATATTTGTGAAAGATTGGCTAAGGAAGAAAAGTGACTTTCTCGTTTCGAGTGTCGATTTATAATTTCCAATTGGCGGTCTTTTTCCCGTAATTACCATGACAAATACAACAACAATGTACCCTAGCGTCATAAAATCACTTTAAATTGAAAAGCCTCTATCTATAATTCAAAGAAACGATTATTACAAGGGCTATTGAGCCGAATAACCAATAACAACCCCTTATWCATTATATATATTCATGAGAATCGTTGAGCTAACTAAATATGGTGATATCTATAATATAAATCTATGTTGTTGACTCGTTAAAGCAAAAAAAAAAAAAAATATGGTAACAATCAGCGTTGCTTCTAAATTACAGCCAAATGTATTTTGATCCTAAAACTTATGTATACATAATTTGGTATTTTTGACGCCTACACTGAGCTGAGAGTTTGTGGTACAGCTGGTCCTTAATAGATAAACTCTGGGACCAACTGTAACGAGTTTGAGTGGATAGGACGGCTAGAAGGTAAGCTTGGTATATTGAAAATGTGATTTATAAAAGTAATTGATCACAAAAAAATCAGCTGAAATTTGCCATTAGAAACACATCGCATTTTAACGTGTATTTGTGTTTCTCAGCGATTCATAATGTCAACATTAAGTGTTAGAACTCTCTATATGGATAGCAATCTAAATACAACGTTTTAACACCAGAGATTTTAAAATTTAACTCTGTCTAAAGCCTTCAAAACTAAAGAACTGGACCAGTTAATCAGTAAGAAAAGTTGAGAACCGCGTTTATTCAAGAGGTATCGAAATATTTAGAAATGGGGATTTCCTTTTTAAGAATAAGGGCACTGTGATCTATAAATATTAATGAAGAATAATTTTCTAGCTGTTAAGTAATCACTTTATTATAAACACATGAAATTTATATCACTTTTTTTCGAACACTGATTATATTTTCACAGCTTATTAATTGTTTCAGTTCGAAAATAGTAAAGGATTGATTGTTAGGCCTTACATATGAAATAATGAATCTTTATTTCAGTTTTAGCTTTTTCGATATTGTTAAGCTGCATGTACGACTGATAACTTGGTCTTATAATTCTAATAAAAATAATAAAACTATGATATACGTTAATAATATAATGATAATGATGATAATAATAATAATGCTGCGAGATGCGTATATTTTTAGATATCAAGGATGATAATAATGATGACAATATAAAATAACATAACAATAATAATATAAAATAACATCACAGTTAATGATAGCATTAATAGTAAATAATAATTTATGATTRTTAATCTAAGTTAAAAATCCAGACWAGAACTACATCAACAAGAYAAGAAAWACACTGAGCCAATCTCCTATATTAATGGCAGTCTTAGACGCCTTTTTACGTTTAACCCTGACTTTTAGTAACTTTAATTGACACAAAGAAAACCGAAAAACATTTATGCATATGTCCAATATATATTCACAAGTCGGTTAGTACCAAGGCTTGAGACTGTATAGGATAGCGGTGTATTCTTTAGAAATAATAGATATTGTTGTTAAAGACTAGAAAATAGTATATTAGTCTGATATATAGACATTACCAAATGTTATGCAATAACGCRTAACAGACATGACATGACTATAGCGCCTCTGCACTTCTAAACAACAAGGTGCMTGCTGTTGGGCTCTGTTACTGAATTGCACTTTCTTGGAATAACGATTTTGCGTAGMGCTGACATCAAAAGTGTTCATTTTCTTACGAATGATGAAACTGAGGTTGTCACTCATAGGGGACCGTAAAGACTGAGGCTRAATACAACGAATTGAATAGAAGTTGCCGCGTGGATTGTAGAGGTAGATRATAGATTATCGGATCCCCGCCTGCATGATATAACCTGTATGATATACCTTTTCAATGTGACGTGTTTTTTTCAATATTCTTACATCTATTACTACAATATCAATAATCTTACGACGACTTGCCCAGTACGAGATAATTCAAGTGTTTTTAGCGATCACTATCAGTATTCTATTGATCCGTGAAGTTCATATCAGTATTATCACACTAGACTCTATCACGAGA